GGGGTCCAGGGCTGCGCATGCCCGTGCTCGAGGCCCCTTCCCTCTCCGCGAGGCACAGAAACCGCGCTGCGTTTCTTCTCACCCTCCTTTGATGTAGTCGAGAAATGTGCACTCTGACTCCACGGCAAAGGAGAGCAGCGTGACCTTGGGAACAGAAGGGAGCTGGGTCAGGGGCGCACTCGCAGGTGCGTTAGTACCTCACTGTATCCGGGGCCCAGCAGCCCTGGTATCACCCCCATCTTATCTGTCCAACTCCGGAGCCTGCACTCCTGACCTCAGTGCCAAACCGCGTCCTGGAAGGACCTGTCTCTGTCACTGGAGCAGAGGCTCAAGCCAACAGCGTGAGCTTCCCCGAAGCAGGCACCATGTGGAGCGGGGAGCAAGGGGCCTTCCTGACACAGTCCCAACACCCCTTGCCGACTAGCCCCCCCCTTCCACGCCCCAGGAACTAGGAACCCTCAAACGTGCCTCTCTAGTCTGCACTTAACTTCAACTTTACTGGTCCCCCATCCTCTGGCGTCTCAGTCTCTACCCTCGGACCCACATAGCAGCCTGCGCTTTCCCCAGAGGTCACTGACCACCCGGGACCCCCTCTCCCAAGCAGAGGCCTCTCAGCCTACTCTTGCTGGCGGCTTTGGCATCAGCTTTGCCAAGACAGGCAGCTACCTGGCAGCTCATTATGATGGTGACTTGGGATCTCGGAGACAAGGGAAAGCCTGGCAGCTGAAACCAACTGAATGAAGCGGGAGTGGGGCAGCAGGCCATCGACCTGCATCGCGGGACTCCACTCTAGGATTTGGGGAGCTCCCTACTGGTGTGGATTCAGCTGTCTTCACTGACTCACTAGGTGGCCGGTAGGGCCTCTGCGTGGCAGAGCCAATGATCCTAAAGGGGAGGGTCTGTGAGTGCTGAGCTGGGCCTCAGAGACACCCCTCCACACACACACCTGTGGCCAAGACGTTAGGTGCCCGGACAAAGCTTCCTTTCACTAGAAGTGGATTATGGCAATGGCCTCCACCCTGACAATTATTAGACTCCTTGAGGAGCTTTTAAAACACCTCGAAGCCCAGGGGAAGCCCTCAAACCAATTACATAAGAGCTTCTGGGGTAGGGCTCTGGCCCCTTTTTTTAGATCCTCATATGAGTCTCACCTGCAGCCAGAGTTGAACCCCCTGGGCCCTGGGATAAAGTACAGTAATTCCCTAACTCGCCTGATCTTGGATTCATCCAGGGACTTGCTACTGAAAGAGTGGTCCCTGGACCAGCATGGTCAGAATCACCGCGATGCTGGTAAAGAATGCAGACATGCAGGTTCTTGGCATTTTAACAAGACCCCAGGAGCTTCTGCACATAGTAAGGCACGAGAATCACTAAGCACAGATGGCTGGGCCGCAGCCTAGAACCCAGGAAACTGGCCTGGGATCTGTATTTTAATAAGCATACTGGGCCCTGAGTGATTCTTTTTAAGGTGAAGACTGGGAAATGCTAAAGCAAAGGAGGGGACCTGAGCCCAGTCCTGCTCTGTCCCTAACTCACTGTGTGACCCATGATAAAGCATGTCACCTCTCTGGGCCTCAGTTTCTTCATCTCTAAAGTAAGAAATCAGTGGTTTTTCAAACCTTTTTTTTTTTAACTAACTATACATCCAATATTTCTTAGCTGGGGTGGTTGCTGCCTCCTCTAGAGGCATTTGGGAAAGTGTGGGAGTGTTCTGGGGTCTCACAATCCCCGGGGCTCTACTGGTAGCTATGGGCTGAGGCTGGGGGTGCTAAGCAACCCACATATAGGGGGAAGTCCTGTGAGATGACAGCACCCCACTGGGAGACACTGCCGCTTTGGACAAAGGAAACACAGGGTGGGCAAAAGCAGGTTTACAGTGGAGAGTATACGAAACAGTTTACTCTTGTACTATTATTTTTAAATTATTGTATTATTTTCCATACGAACAACTGTAAGCCTACTTTTGCCCACCCTGCATTACTCCAGCCTGTCTGTGCAACAGCTTCGAGCAGAGAAATGGGTAAGTAGTCTGCTTATCCAAAGGGATAGGCTTGCAGTTTGTAGGCCTGCATCTCCCCGGCGTCTGTCACAGCCACCCTGTGCAATAAGCAGCATTAGGGAGGACTTAGTGACCCCATTTTACAGATGGAGAAAATGAGGTTACTCAGAGGAACCTCAGAGCCCCTGGCTCCGACCCCTTCTGGGGCTGGAGGTGCAGCCTGCCTGACTCAAATGACTAGGCTTAGCTGCATTCGCTGATGGTGCTATGGACGCTGGGGGAGGGGCGTGAAGGGTACGAACTTGGCTATGTTTGCACTGCAAAGATATTGGCTCGCTCTATAAATGCTCTGTGGGCTCTACCTCAGGGCCTTCGCACATGCTGATCCCTACTAGAATTCTCTTTCCCTGATATCCTCACCACCTGCTCCCTCACCTTCTTTGAATCTCTGCCCAGATATCACCTTCTCAGAGAAGCTCTCCTTCACTACTTTATATAAGAGCAGTTTTGGCCCGGCACTCCCGATCCCTTTACCTTATTTTACCCCGCAGCACTCATACCCACCTGACACACAAAGTTTATGTACGCATATATACTTTTCTGTTTCCTCCCACCAGAATATCAATGCCAGTGGGCAAGGACTTCCATTTGCTGAATAAATGCATGAAGATCAGCCCCCAGAAGCCACTGGGCCAGTGTGGCCGCAGGTCAGCAGGGGCCGTGCCCGCAGCAGCCGCCAGCTCTGGATTTAACTGTAGTGCTGACTGCCATCTCCACCGCTTTCTAGCTCTGTGACCTTAGTTGAGTCACTTCCCTGCCTGCAGAGGGATGATAACAGCTGCCTCTCAAGGAAACAGCCTGTGAAAAGCACCTAAACTGGGAATTTCCCAGAGTCAGGGCCAGATGAATGCTACTCCACTTCCCTTCCTTCCTGCAGGAAGTCCCATGGGAGTTTCTCTCTGGGGCGTCTCACTCTGTGTCACAGAGCTGCTATGACACAACGCTTAAGCACCGCCCAGCCCCTGGGCCGTTCTCCATGCCCCCCCCAACTCTCCAGGTTTCGTTCCCACACGGCAGGAGCACACAGACAACCACGATTCCTGACCCCAGACCCAGCTCGGGGCTCAGGGTGTCTACACCCAGCTGCAGAGAGGGAGGGGTGGCTACTCACTGTGCCAGAATTCACATATTTCTTTTTCTTCATTTTCTTTTTTGGGTTTACCACCTGCGGGAAAAACCAGTTGCCAGATAAGGAGGTTTCCAAAGAGGCAGGGCTGGAGACCCCTGGGGCTTCCACTGGCCCCAGACCCCGGTAATCGGTAATCGAGTGGGCTGTGAAAATCAGGGGTCCTGGGGAGGAGGGATCAGGCATTTAGATTTAGAGGGATTGGCATTTAGGCTTACGCAACCGGGCTCCCCAATGGGACCTAGTGTCCCATAAGCAAACACACCAAGAATAATATTTATTTAACCTTCTTTCCCACAGCTCCCCAAACACACCCTCCACCCCATGCAGCCGGAGGAGGCTCGATGTTGCAAAGGGGCCCTGTCTATGCCTGTCCCGGGAGGCAGCTCAGGCTGCTCCCTCAGCCGGGACACAGCCCCCCCACGCCCCCAACCCTCCCTGCTCCTCCTGGGAGACCCAGCCTTAGGGCCCCTGCGGCCTGTGAGGCTCCCCCTCCACCGCCACTTCCCTCACACAACAGTTAGGACCTCCGAAACGCTTCTTCACGTGCAAGCTTTCATTCCAAACCAGACCTGTCATCAGAGACTATGTCACAGCGCTAGCTAGCCATGTCGTAGGCGCTAAAAAACATTCTTGGTGGGTTGACTCCGTGGGCTCCACCCCCATGCCTGGAGACACCTGGCAATGTCTGGAAATATTTTTGGTTGTCACAACTAGGGGAGTAGGTAGAGTCAAGGGATGCTGCTAAACACCCTACAACACACGGGACTGCTCCCTGCAACGGAGTCATTGTGTGTGAGATGCCAGCCGTGTGGAGGCGAGACCCCCGCGCTGCTGAGGACCGCCTTGCTCTGGGAGCCCCCACGGGTCTGTCACAAGTACTACATTTGTACTCTAATCTGAGCCTCACCAGCTCTTGTGTTTTTTTACATGGAAGTCTAGGCCCAACCCTTCCCTAATCTCCTATTGAACAAACCAAGGGGACCCTCACACCGGCTCAGCCCTTCAGATTCTGGTTAATTCATGCCCTTCTCCCTCATCTCCTGTTCTTCCTGGGGGGCAGCCAGCTGGTCCTGAGCAGAGGTCTCTTCTGTCTGAGTGACTACTGAGATCCGCCTCTGGAGTTAAGGAAACTAAGGCACAGAGACACCAAGTGTTTTGCTGAAGGTCACTCCTCTGGTCTGGGTAGGGGCTGAATTAGAAACCAGGTTCCTGCCCCCAGGCCACCTTGATAACAAACACAAACACATTCCTTCACAAATACTTACAAAGGGGGGGTGTACCAGTTCCTCTCCTCTAGACTCTTTACTCCAGCAAGAGAAAGAAGATATGTGCTCAGGAGAGATGACAAGGGCCACCAAGAATGGGGAGTCAGGAATGTGAAGGAGTTGTTAGAAGGAACATTCCGCGAGGGAGCATCAGTGAAAGCTCCCCGAGCAGGAGGTACCCCAGGCAGATGCGAGGGACAGGAAGGATTTGGACATGGAGAGATGGAAGGAGGACATACTGGGGGGAAGGGACACAGAACTGGGGTCCAGTTTAACTGCAGGACCACAGGGTGGAAGAGAGTAAACTGGCTGGCTGGAAGGGAACCATTCGAGGCCAGTTTAAATGTCTGAACATCACCCATCAGCTAGCAGAGAACTCTGATGATCTCTAAGCTGATAGGGGACACAATCGCAGCAGGCTCTAGGACGCTGGGACCTGGTGGAGGTCAGAACAAGGGGAGGAAGAGGGACATCCAGGGGGATGTTTGCCTGGTTCTGCCACCTCAGGTTTGTGTGATCTTAGGCAAGTTACTTAACCTCCCTGTACCTCAGTTTTTTCATCTGTAAAATGGGAATAAATAATTAAAAAAAGGGAATAAAAAGTATCTACCATCCTGGACGGTATGCTCAGTGGTTAGAGAATTGGCCTGAGGACCAAAAGGTCATGGGTTCGGTTCCTGGTCAAGGGCAAGTACCTGGGCTGTGGTTCACTCCCCGCCCCGTTGGGTGCCTACATGCAGGAGGCAACCAATTGATGTGTCTCTCTCACATCAATGTTTCTCTTTCTCTCTCTCTCCCCCTCCCTCCCTTCCACTCTCACTCTGAAAATCAATGGAAAAAATATCCTCAGGCGAGGATTTAAAAAAAAAGTACCTACCTCATAAAAAGGTAGGGGGATTAAAATGGGTCAGTACAAGTCAAGTGCTTAGGACAGGGTCTGGAATGTAGTAAGTACGTGCACATGTCAGCTGCTAGCATTTTTTATCACTACTATTTACTGCCACCACTAGTCCAGGAGACCGGTAATGAGGGCTTCTGGGTGTTGGAACAGGTACTGAGCTACAGCAAAACAGCACTGTCAAGAAGCGACCACAGATCTTGGACCCCCGGCATGACTGTGGGGGTAGGAGAAAGTGAGGGGCCAGGGCCAACCAGGTAGACACAGAAGAGCTGGATTTGGGGCACAGGTGGGACATTCAGGTGGGAGGGCCAGCAGACTGTACAAGTGAGCCTGGGAGAGAAGCCCAGAACAACCTCCAATCCTCACAGGCAGGAGAGCCGCCCAGGGGGCATGGTGTTCACAGACACAGTCCTGGGCAACAGCCTAGCAGGCAAGGGTTGAGGTGAGGGCACAGCCGCAGCTCCAATGTGCACTGTGCCTCAGTTTCCCAATCTGTCCCCGGAGGGTGTGGAACTTTTAGAACTGGGTGCATGTCAAACCTTTACTCCAAAGTAGCCCTCCCAGCTGAGGAGAATAAACATGGACTCCTGGGGATCTGGGCGTCACCCGAAGACCTGGCCACCAGCATATTTCTTTGAAGTCTTCTGTGTTGTCTTTAAATTAGCCAGTATTCCACATTTCCACTCTCTAATTATAACTGTTTTAATATTAAAGCACTGTTTTGTTCTCAGATCTTCATGTGAAATGCACTGAAGAGACGCCCTGTTTATCCTGAAGTTTCAGGCACTCCCAGCACACCCTCCCACTCTCTGTACCCGCCTCTCCTGCCCTAACAGGCTGCACCTTGAGGTTCCGTGAGAGGGACCAGCACCCCCAAGGGGTCAGGCCAGGAACCTGCCAACCCCTGGGCTGGAGTTCTCCTAAGCCTATTCTTCCCCCTCTCCTCATACCCGGTGTCCTTAAGGCCCCCAGGGCCCAATTTGGGGTGTGCCCTTCTGTACAAGGGGTCACAGAGTGGTTCCCAGGAGCCGGGAGCCGCTCTGGCTGACACAGCAGTGAGGAAGACACGCCCGACCCAGGGCAGGGCCTTTGTGAGCGAAGCCATGGAGGCTGAGCCAACATGCGGGTTCAGAGAGCCTCAGAGGGCACGATCGGGCTGAAAGTGGGTGGGCAGAGGGAAGGGCTGGGGCCAGACCCTAGGGGCCATGTGAGGGTGCGACATGCATGTCTGCTTACCCAGGCCCATGGGCTGCACACAGGTTGCAGGTCACTGGGGCATCCTGTGAGGAGCTCAGACTTTACCCCACAGGTAGGCGGCCCTGCAGGATCTCAGCCGGCGTGGGGAGTCTTTCTGACTTTCCTCCTCCCCCTCCCCCTCCCCCTCCCCTATGGGAGCCAGGCTGAGGTGGTGGGCGGAAGGCACAACCAGATTTGAAGCTGGGGAGCGGTGTGGTCGGGTGACCTTTTTGGAGGAGCACTCAGCTTACTGAGTGCAGGACGGAAGGGGGTGGAAAGGCTGCTGCTGTTGGGGGCTGTTGCAAAGCTCCCACTTGGGAGATGACAGTGGGGGTGGGCGGGAATGAAGGGAACAATTGTCAGAATATTTTTCGTTGGTAGTAGAAGCAGGGTGCAGCCATGCATGGAGAGGGGCCACAGTTGTCAAGGATGGCTCCCCAGGCGCTGTGGCCCCCATGGTGATGGCACAGGCTGGCCAGGGGAGGGGAGGGCTGGGGGGAGACTTTGGCTGGTGCGTTCAGTTTGGAAGGCTGAGCCTGAGGGGTGGCCAGCAGGCAGCTGGGCATACAAGTCAGACACCCAGGGTGATGCCAGGGCCCAAGACGAGGGTCTCTCCCGGCAGAAGCCTGTGCTGTCTTCAGGAGGACTGTTAGAAAGGCCTCCCAGGGACACCACAGTGCAAGGCCTGCCCACGGCCACCAGAGTTTAACCCTTTCCTGCCTGATGGCATTTCTATGGGAAGACAGTGCTTCTGCTTCCCAGAGCTGCCCTTTCTCTGGTCGATTACAAGGGAGCAGGGATCCTCAACCAAGCCAACAAGTCAGTCCAACCTTTCTGCTTTCAGCCTGGAGACCACGGCCTCTTCTGGTCTGTCAAGTGCCCTTAGAAGCCAAACTCCAATTGATCTGACCCCTTCCCTTCTCTTCCCTAAAACTCTCCTTAAAGGAGGCCAGAGAAAGACAGAGCCTGCTTCTCTCTGTTTGG